ATGATGTCAACGAGCCAATCAGAAAACATGATACGCGTAGAATTGCTTATCAGACTATAACACTTGATATTAAAATATTTATTATTAAACATGGAAGAAATATCGGTTGTTAATATAAATTATAATAACAAAATTAATCGAATTAAAATTTCTATCTTAGATCAAGACGATATTTCATTGATCATTATTATTGCGATATGATTGCACTATAATAAACAAGAGCTATAACATAAATAATAAAGAGATAAAAAATTCATCAAGGACTAAAGTTGGAACTGGGTCTAGAAATGAAATTAAACTTACTTGGACCTTTACCAGGGATATTCAAATACTAAATAATCGTCACCTTTACGATAGGCATTCCAGTTTAGTTTATTTTTTAAGCCCTTTGTGAGTTTTTGGATTGAATTTAATTATATTAGTTTAATTAGTATCCCTAGCATTAGTAAAATTGTATCGAATCATTAATGTGATATGTTCCTTTAATTACTTACAATGAAATTCAGTTATTATTTTTATATTGTTCATATCTTGATTATTCGCCGTTATTTTGCGAAATTAATGTTGGAAAGTCATATGCACAAAAATCCAAAGCTCCATTAAATCTTGAATAGACCTCCATATTGTGCATTTCTAGTCCAAATTCTGTATTACACGCTTGTTTAATATTTTTATTTTGGCTATAATCAAGAAAATGAGCCGGTGGCATCTCATAACTGAATCTAAAATTAACATCAAATTCTGAACTACCACGCACTTCATGTCTGTTTAAAGCCGTTGATGGTTGACTTGTTGAGTATAAAAGCGGAGTGGGTATCCTAGTCATTAACGAGACACTTTCATATGCTCTAAAATCAAATATGTTAATTGGGTAATCCAATTCTTGAACATATTCTATATCATGCATCATTTCATCTAAAGCTGTCAAAGGATGACATGTAGGATTGATCATCACAGACTCTTCTTCGTAACCAGCAAATCCATTCTCAAGACTGCATACATTTGATGTGCTATCTGTTATCATATTGCAAAAGGCTTCCAAACTTATGTTTTTATTATTAAAAATGTTATTGATATTATCATTTGTCGAATTATCACTAGCGATTAGTCTCTCACTACAATGATGTTTCTCATGGAGCTTTGTCAATTTTTTCTCAGCGACGCGAATATAATCTCTGATAACAATTTTAGAAGTTCTGGGTCTATTTATCTTGCTGTAATATTTTTTAAATTCCCTTTTAAATTCTTTCGGTAATTGTTTCCAGACACAAGAAGAAAGTTTGGAAATAATTCCATTTTTAATATTCTGATTTCTCTCAATAACTCTTTCTTGTAAGCAAAATTTTTGCATATGCGCACAAAATAAAATAAATGGAGACCCATTTTTATAAGAATAAGTTTCAGGAGGTAGAAATTCTATGTTGCAAGGTACGCCTTGATAAATGAAGGTAACTGACAAATTTTCAGCATTTTTCTCTGAAGAAATAAGTCGAATTATATTGCTAATTGTGTTATTTGACATTAATGTTTTGATTTCGATATTAAGAATGTAAATCTCCTTTTATAAAAAAATTTAAAATAAACATTATATCTCATGATAAATTACTAGTTGAGTATATTTTTAATAGCATATAGAGAAACATGGAACACAAAAATAACGCCGAGTCCACCTGAAACGAGTCTATTCCTATAGAAAGACGGATGGCTCGTTCTTCGGATAGTCTGGTATCAGACAAATTTGTGTTACTATGTAAAAAGTAATAGTGCCCGGTACAAGATCCGCCACAGCCACAGATTAACTCTATCACGAGATCACACCATGTGGCGTGTCTTATGTTATCATGTGACTCTAACTTCCACAGTTCCTGCATTTGTAGTGCAAAAAAAAACTAACGAAAGTAGTTCCGGATTGATCATTAAAAACACGTCGGATTTCAGGATTAAATTGCAATTTGTAACGTATTTTCTCATATTTCTCTGAATGAAGTTTGTTCAGCAGGCTTATTTCAATATTAATGTTGAGTATCCAAACGGAAACATTGAGAATTGTTAGTTGAGGACCTTTTAAAAGCTTTCTTTATTACTCACCCATTTTAGTTATATATATATATATGGTTTGAGAAGTTTCCAATGCTAACGATTTCTTTATATTAAGAGTCCTAAATATTCATTTCTTTTTCTTGTATTTTCATCCTTTTTTTTCTTCGGAATATTAAAATTTTTCTCATAAATATTCTTTAAAGATATTAGTGTGAGTAAAAAAAAATTAGTACGTACGGAAAAAATTCAGCCCTAAATTTAACCCTTTTATAAATAAAAGCGATAAATCACTTTGAATAGTGATAATTAGTGATTATAGAGTGATATTTCCCTATGTCGTAAAACAAAACAACACCCATTCAAAATGGATAAACAAAGTTTTATGTAATGTTCCATGTTTCATGAAATTTTTTTAGGTAATTTCAATAGCACTATCGCTATCCTGCATTTTTATTGTGTACCGTAATACAATTTTTGCATATATTCAACATTATATTCCTGTATTCAGCGCAAAGCAAACCTGAAAATTCTGCACGTGATGTATTCTTGTATCATTCAACAAAATCTTTGAAATGAACAAATCAAGTATAGAGGTTGTATGTGGATATGGAATATTCATTGATTTTGGATCTTAAAAAACTTAAGTGATAACAGAATTTCTTATAGTTAACATATTACTTTAGTTAAAAAAGTTATTTTCATGTTCAGATCAGTACAATAATTATATACACCGATATTATGGCATTGCTCACCATCCCGAAGCAAAAAATTATAAGATCATAATGGCCTTTGTAAAAAATAGTGATATACATTCAATACATGCCCCAGAGGTATTACACGGACATTTTTACACTAAAATAATCTGATATTTATAGTTTAGGAATAGTTATATAGGAAATGTCTAGTGGATACATACTTTAAGATCCCAATTTAATTCATCATATTTATTATCCAATAATTTTCGGAGACTTCTTTGCTTTGCATACTCCATAACCACCATATAATCACCATCTTCATATTTTTTAGTTATTCTATAAATTGCGATAGCTGACTTTCCCCCATGTTTATGTTGATTTTCAACCTAAAACAATAATTAGGATAAATAAAATATTATACTTTATTAATAATAAATTATATAATACTTACTTCTTTTAAGAATTCTTGTTTTATATCTTTAGAATTGTCAAGACTTTTTAAACAAATTTATTTGTGATTTTCGCTTCCATTTATTGTTAATCGAATTGAATCCATAAATATAACATCAGTCCATATTGCCTTAAAACTGTTCTGAAGCCTTCTTAGCACGATATTTTATATTTGTAAATTTATCAAAAGGAATCCATTCGATGATATCACTAAATTCGTTGCATTAAGTTGTTTTGCTGAATAAACTTATCAATATCATCATTACCACTTCTCCAATAATGAAATTCTTTTTTAAATCTTAAATATTATTAAGAGTAACAATCATGATTATTTTGGAATTATCGAATTGACTTGAAAAATAATCTTATCAGTTATACTGTTAACTTACCGACTATTATACAGTAGTGTGTTTGGTTTACGTAATTAAAGTAAATTAAAGTAACAGAAGTAAAATGTTATTAAATTTGAATTATCGTTCTTTTTTTTTTTTTTTGAATTGACTTGAAAAATATTCTTTTCAGTTATACTGTTAACTTACTCGCTATAGTGTTTGATTTACGTAATTAAAGTAAATTAAAGTAACAGAAGTAAAATGTTATTAGATTTGAATTATCATTCTTTTTTTTTTTTTTTTTTAATTGACTTGAAAAATATTCATATCAGTTATACTGAACTTAATCGCTATAGCGTTTGATTTTACGTAATTAAAGTAAATCAAAGTAACAGAAGTAAAAGGTTATTAGATTTGAATTATCTTTTTTTTTTTTTTGAATTGACTTGACTGTTAACTTACCGACTATTATAGTGTGTTTGATTTACATAATTAAAGTAAATTAAAGTAACAGAAGTAAAATGTTATTAGATTTGAATTATCGTTATTTTTTTTTGAATTGACTTGAAAAATATTCTTATCAGTTATACTATTAACTTACTCACTATAGTGTTTGATTTACGTAATTAAAGTAATAGAAGTAAAATGTTATTAGATATGTTGTTTAGTTAAATTACCAAGTTCAAGAAATTTTAAGGCTTATTATTCTACTTATGCTTCTTTAACTAATTTGAGAGCTTTTAATGCCCATGCATCATTTGGTTTAATTTTTAATAAATTGTTCAAGTCATCAATTGATTCATTATACTTTTTCATTAAATAATTAATTTCTCCTTAATATCTTAGTGCAATTTCATTTTTTGGATCATTTTAAGCAATTTAGTTAAATCTTCAAGTGCTTTATCATAAGAGCATTAAGAATATTATGAGGTAAAAAGTTTTTTTCATGATTTTTAGATTTTAAATTAGCTAAAAAATTTTTTATATTTATTTTAAATAAAAAAGAGGAAATCGTTATATTGAAGTAAGAAAGAGGCATAAACTCAGTATAAAAAATGCTTTTGTTTCTTGATAATGCCGATAAATGAAGTTTGTAGATGTTTTTTCCAAAAATAGACTGAATTGATTTTCCTTTCAATGAATGTTTACTTTTCATCATATTATTTGAGAAAATGGATTCAGATTTGTAAATAGTACTCGTAAATAATACGGAAAACCAGACAATGAGACCAGAGAACAATAAGAGTGATGGAATCGTAATCATATTTAATATTAAAATTGAAGATGCGAAAATCAAAGTAGCAATAATTAAAGAAGTCAAAAAAATAAAAGTCAGAAAAATTGATTAAACAATTTTTAGCAAAAAACAGGCTTTGGGTTTTAAGAACTAATTTAATTTATTTTTCATTTTCAAAAGCATTGTCAAATAATTGGCAAATAACTGGCTGGCTTAAAGCACACAACCTCATTTAGCTTGAGAGATCAGATCGAATTATATGAAATAATTTATTATTTATTGTATTATTCCTAAAAAAAATATATTATGTGTTCTGCATTTTTGGTTTTCTTTTGACATTGTATCATTTTTATTTGAAGAAATTATTTGACATAGATAGTATTTATCAGATATGCACTTAACTTCTACTACAATATCTTCCACTTCATCAAATATTAGTGATCTGTAGAAAAGTCATTGAACTATTATTTATTCAGATTAGAACAATAAGCAGGTCTTTTTTATTTATTAAGAATATTATTACTTTGCTAAAATCATTCATTTTTGTGACAGCAACAAAATATTCTACTAGTATATTATTAATATATTAGCTGTCACAAGGAAATTTTCACAACAAATTGTAAATTTAGAAAATCTTTTTTTCTAGCACTATTAACAAGGCTTTAACGAAGTTTTTTTGGCGAAGTATAGAAAATTACTAACTTTTCAGATTTCGTCAAAAAACCTCGTTAAAGCCTTGTTAATAGTGCTAGAAAAAAAATTTCCTAAATTTGTGATTTGTATGAAAATTTTCTCTTAGAAGGCTAATATAATAATAATAGTATCTAGAATATTGTCTATTGCAATAATGAACGATTTTAGCAAAGTACCTGGATATTTATGGTACAATCTGGTTAGATGATGAAGCTCGATCACTTTTCCACTTTATCATTAGTACAAGATGATAGTATTTGTCAAGTTCATGAAATTTTTCATTAGTTATTCAATAGCAGTTCTCTCTTGAGTTATTCAATATTGAGTACTAGTTTTAAGCCATTATTTAGCCAATTTTTATTTATTTATTTTTTACTCAAATTAAATCATTCATCTTTTATCAATTTTTATTTAAAAGAAATTTTCTTCATTATTTATTGCAACAATTCTATTCCAAAAATTTATGTATTAATAAAAATAATTAAACAATAAATTTACAGATTTCATTTTCTAGTAGTTCTAGTGAATGATGATAAAATGCTGCTTTATTGGCAAATGAGAATCTGTTTTGGGAGAAAAACTATTATCAAAAACTTGCATCATAATTATCAACTAACAATGAACATGGCTGGAATAGTCAATAGTTATATGCTTCAATGCTAGAGTATATCCTATTCATCAACTTTCCAGATGCACGCTTTCTAGTATTTTAATACAGAAAGGTCCTCTCTAATGCAGACAGGGCCAGTACTACAAGAATATCAATAACTGATAGAGGAGAACATTCAACCAAATGGTTGGCCCAATGTGCTTTCAATTCTCAATCAGATTTCATTGCACTGATATACAGCGTAACTTTGGATATACTATAACTTGACAAGTAATCAATGAGAAAATGAAAACTCACCTGTATAGTTTTTCTTCTTTTTACGAAGCAAAATTTTAGTAAAAGTCTATTCCAACTGATTTTTGAGAGGAGAAAGGATTTTAATTAGGACATTTCTTCGTCTTGTATTCTTCTTTTATTTTGAGAAAATACAGAACAAATTTTTCTTTAAAAAAGGAGTCTAATATGTATTACGTTAAAAAAAAATTACACAAGGCTAGCAATTTCGATTCAAAGTGTCTAAATATATATTCCATACAGATAACAAAACACTTAATGGTAAAAAATCACTATTCAAAACATTTGTAACATGCTAAGTAAGATTGGGTTGTCACACTCACCTTTAACTTGAGTAGTATATTTATTTTATATATCCTGAAATCTTCACAATACTGTCTAAATAATTTAGATTTAAGACTTCTTATTCATTATTAAATATGTATTTAATTATTAATTCTTTATATATTACCAAAAAAATCATTCTACAGTATTATTTGATTACAAAACAAAAAATGAATTAACAATTGTTCTTATGTTTCACAATGATTAGTGCCGAATTTATTATTTTTAAAAAATTCAAGTTTAATATTATTCAAAAAATAAATTCGGGATATATACTATATTTATATTATAATATTGTAACATGAAGTGCTGATACGTGACTTGACTGAAAAATGTGAAAAATTAGGTTTTGAGAAAATGAAAAAAATTTAATATCAATCTTTTTTTATATTTATTAATTCTTATTTACAGAATTAAAGAGATTATTTTGTTTAAACAATAAACAAGTTTTTTTATAATTACATTGCAGAAAATACAAAAAAAAGCTAGTATGCGTATGATGGGAATAATGATATTAAAAAATAAGTGATTCTTAATTGTCAAAACTCTTTTTAATAAATAATGTCAAATTTTTAGCTTTTAGTAAAGTCTATAAGGGTTTCCATCTTGTAAAAGTTTTAGTAAATTCTATAGTAAGGTTTTCCATTTTGTGGCATTCATTTTTTATCTTATTATTGTCTCTGGTAATGAGATATTCAACAGTTTCTTCTTTGGCAAAGAATTTATCGTTAAATTTGTTGTAAGTTACTTGCTTGAGATTAATAGTTATGTCGTAGTTTGCTTCTTTATAGGAATATCATAATGTTAATTTAGTGTAATCATATACTTTTGATCATCTGATTCTTTGATAATTTCTCCAAATTCGATAGTTGACTTTATACCGGTACTTCCTAAAAATGAAATCATTAATCTTTTTGAACGTCTTGTTGTACGAATGCTATTTAATTTATCTTCTTGAGACTTTTTTGGTTTTTTGACTTTAGGCATTTTTAGTGAATATTGTAAAAAGCAATGATTCGATTTTATTTGAATTTTATTTGATAGCGAACAATGTATTAAAAAAATTAAACTTTGAATAAGAGAGTCTTTTTATAGCAAACTCGATGACTCAATAATAAATAAATACAATTATAAAAACTAGTTTTTGTAAAACGACAATAAATACCTCATTCTGAAATTATTAAAAATAAATATTAAATTTTTTT